AACTGTTACAAGTAAGTTACTGTTGTTTTAAGTTGTGCAATCATTATTAGTATTGAAATGCCGTTTCTTCTTGTAGGGCATAGAGCGAACACATTTTTGTGTCCTTTTCAGTAATCTGATTTATTTATAGGGTAGTAGTTCAGACTTCTGTGGCCTGCCCAACCGAAACAAGCTATTGTTTCCCCGGGATTCGAACTAACCTCACGCATTTAACGCAATGTAAGGTTTCTTGTTTAACCATTTAACTATTGAGTTGGTCTCATTATTTATAATTGATATTAATGATTAGAAAAATTGTTATTAATTTTGTTGACATATCTGAATAGGCATTTTTATCTGTTAATAACCTAGCGCAATTATTTAAATATAACATTTAATTGTATAAACCGCTACAGCTTATAACTTATGGTGTTATATTACGAAACTTTGTACGTAGACTTTGTTAGAATAGATACGTACCTACATCTCAGGAACTTCGCTACAATTTGTTGAGATAACTTAGGGGCTTAATTAAGTATGCAATAGGCACGAAAACTTCTGAGCACGGCTTGACAGTGACGTTGAGTTCGGTTATAAAAAGTTTTCTAACAACGTACACTGTATTGCATACGTAATAGGGCTGTTATAATTTTTCTTGAGAGATTACTTGATATTCTTAAGTACACTAAATATTTTGCTATGTCAAAGGACGCAATGGCGAAATGCCTTTGTTAAGCTCGAAAGGTTTTGGGTTTGAATTCTGGAGAATAATAATTGTCTCAACACAGCACAGAATTCTGGTCAATAACTACTTGTATAACTTTGAAAATCGTTGTCTTATAATTACAATAGGATTTAAAAAAAGTTTCTGTCTCTTTTTATTCCAATTCATTTAAAGTACCACAAGTACATTTGTAGATCAGAGTCAAAAACATTGTTTCACATAGGTATACCTACGAATGTCACAGCAATTAAAAACTAACTTATTACCAGTTCTCAAGTCAAGGGCGTAGAACGAACGAGAAGAACTTGCAAGGAACTTGCCGCCATTCCTTTTATCGCTAAGTTTAATTTTACAGTCTACACGTATTTTGAGTGCATTACATCTTTTTTCTTGTTAGGGCGGGCTTCTCGAAATCCTAAGCATTTTTATCTTTTAAATATTGATTTACGCCATAATTACCCCTTCCAAGCAGTGTTTGTTTAGTTGTAAGTGCTTGCACTTCACTAGGGGTTTTATTATAATATGTATGCCTACCTAGTTACCCTGAAATTAATTAGTACTTTTATGGAGCCTTCTGATTGGTGGCAATAAATGAGGTAGAAGGTTATTGAACCTTACAAGTATGGTTGACGTAAAACTTTCACCTTGTTAGATCTTGTCTAAAGACGAATTATTTATTGAGCATCTCATTTGATCGATCGAAAATGCAATTGGGAGCATGGTACGCTTTTCACTATGGGTTCAACTCCCGCCCTCTTCATATTTTAATTCAAACTAAGAAAGTTGAAATATCTTGTAAATACAAAGGTCTACAAGTCTTCCCTATCTTATATCCGACTCATAATAAAAATTCCTACAGCAATTGATTGTATGAGTCGTTCCACATTGTCCTATTCAAAGCAAGCCACAAATAAGGGTAGAAATTGGATTTCTTTGAGTTGCGACGGTCGCAAATTGTACTCATTGCTAGTACGAAAATATTCTTGGCTTTAATTCTTTGACATTCACTTCTTCCGAAACGTCTATGCAGTTTGTAATCAGTTATATAAATCGAGCTTGTCGTAGGGTTATGGGCTTGACCTTAACAGGGTACAAAAAGTTTTTAATTTTTTTTTTCTAAAATATGTTGGACTTCATCGCGAATTCTAAATGTTAAATGAGTGTTAGGAATATCGAAATTTCGTCTGGTCACGAACCACCGTCCTCAGAAGAGAAAGCCGTAAAGTTAAATCGTACAGTCAAAATAGGTTAACAGAGTATCTTAGGTTTTTGGATTGACTGGGGACCTACAATGAATGGACCCCATGATTGCCTGTAATGAGAAACCAGTCCTGTTTTTGGAATCCCGGGGCAACCACGAACTACTTGTTGCTAATAATATAATTCAGTAAGAACAACAAGTACAAATGTTTACGCCCGTTGTCTCACTTTAACTTAGATTATTATAAAAGAACTGTGATTAAGTGTTAAGGTTTAATGTTACAAATGTTACTTCAACGTGTGATTATAAGTTAAATATTTTAAATACTCGAGGGTACTTATAAGTTCTCTGCACTTGAACTATAGTATGTCGACAAACGCAAAATGAAATATTTGAAGTACCTCCTAAATGACATATTTATCGTGTGACGTCACTTGCACTGCATAGTCTAAGTATCGTAGAAAAATATTTTACAAATTGTTAAACAGAATGTTCTAACAGGCAACGTAGAGTGGATTTAATTATATTTACAAAGTCTAACCTTTATATGTACGAAAGACATCGGTATTTAATTAAAACAGTTTTAACGGTAACATTATTAATAATAACTAACTAATTTGTGGTTTGTATTAATTTGTTTCGCCTACCTTGCACATCTCATTTTCTTAACATTTCATAACTTTAGGTTGCCTGGAAGAGATTGCTTGTTAGCGATAAGGCCGCCCATTGCTCTCCATTCTAGTATATAGGTTTAATTTGTAATATTTTTATTTTTTGTGCAATAAAGAATATATAAAAAAAAAAAAATAATAAAAAGATTAATTTTATAAAAAAAAAATCTTTGAAAATTACTTTAAGGCCTGAAGTTACAATAATTCGCTAAAATGTTAGTATATATCGCGTTTTAAACCGTTAAAGTTTTTTTATTTAAATGCTACTCGCGTAAACTACAGGTAAAATACTGTCTGTACTGTCTGTAGGACATCCGTAGTTTTTACATCTGTGTAGTTGCATACTAAATAATAGTAATAAAAGTAATGTTTTGAATGAATACAACATTTAATCATTTATGAAATCAAATTCAAAGTTGAAAGTAAGTAGTATATTTGATAACAACTAGTTAAAGTGAGACAATATCTCATTTTGAATTAAGCAAAAACATATATCAAAGGCAGAGAAAAGAAGCAAAAGTGTGAAATAAAAAATTAAAGCAATTTACACAGACAATATTTCAGTAACACGTGTTACCTAGAAGGAAAAGCGTGACTTAATGAACTCATAACGGCTGATTTAATATCAGGCTTTCGACTACATTAGCGATCTAAGGCTGTGTACATAAATAGTTGAACTTGTCATTAGCGGGGCAGCGCAATTGATTTTGTCATGGGTTCGAGATTCGCTTTTGCAATCTGCAATCTAAAGTAAAAAAAAACTCTTTTAACGGTTTAAAACGTGAAATATATCAGTTATTTAAAATTTACTTTAACTGCGGCCCGACGTTTCATCATATCGGTGACCCAAGGTTGCTGCAATTATAATACAATAAAATAAAATTCGAAAACTCGGGGCATAGTTAAAATAAATTATAACTAAGTTAACTTATATACTTGGCATTTTAAACAGTTAATAGTGATGATTCAAGATATTTATTTAAATGTGTGCTATTCACGTAAAGTACAGGCAAAAGTAAAAATTTAAAATCGAACACAAACTGAATAAAACAGCATTAAATAATTTTTTACGTTAACATAAGAAATAGCTGAAATTATATAAACAAACTTTTACCGCACTAAAATATATCAAAAACGGCTTAGCCGATTCACAATTACCTGGCTGTGTACACATTTATAAAGTAACGTATGACGTCACAATGTTAAAAGTGTGCACTAAGCTTAAAATGAGATTGAATTTAGTTATTTACAAGCGAATATCATTTGCACTTGTATACGCACAGATTGCGTTATTAATTAACTATTCACGAATATGGAAATTTCATGATAACTTGTATATTGTTTGTACTAGATGATATTTGAATATTTTCTAGCATTTTACAGATAATATGTTCAACTGGCTAGATAACGATTCAACTATTTTAATACACGTAATCAAGAATAGTATAACAATCTATTTGAAACACGAGAGATAAAGAGCGATGACGCGGACGGGATTCGAACTGACGATAGTACGTTAATGTTAAGCGATAATGTAACGAAAGTCATTTGTGAAGAATTAAAAATAAATTGTAGATTAAGAACAGCTGAATGCTATGTGGTCGTAGGTTTGAGTCTCTCTCGTGTTACCAAATTTTCTAGATATGATAAAAGATCTTTTCATAACACACTTTTATTTTATTAAATAACGTTGGTCTGTAGTCAAAGTGTATGAACTTACAGAGAGCTTTTGTTGAAAATAAAACACAAAAGCACTTCTATAATACGATTAGTTACATATTAAATTGTTACTTTAATACTAATTCAGTTACGTTAATAGTTAAGTCTGCGGATAGCTAGTTTAAATGATGCACTAAATTTCTGTATAACAAAAGGTTTGAAGACAAAAGGATGTGAAATTCAAGTAGCTTTCTATAATTTGTCCCGGCATTGCTTACGCTCGAAAATACCATTTTAATTAAGATACTTCTCGTGACGTTCTTTTGTTCTGGTTGGACCATTGGTACAACGTATTACTTGTGTATTATTTCCACCGTGTCCTAAATGTTTGTAGACCATTGCACGTATACCTAACCAACTACACACCATCTTTTTGTCTATTAATAAGTCTGTCTATATATTTGAGATTCTAAATGTTTGTTTAACTTAAATTTTTGTTTCTTTTAGTATTTGTCTCTTGTACATAATGTTTCTTCTGCATTTCTTTATTAATTGTAAAAGTTTTAAGCTATTTGTAAACTTATTTTACGAATATCATATGACCTTATGTTACCTTACCGATTATAACAATTTCAAGCGATTCCTCAGAATATTCTCTAGAACTGTTTCTGTTTAACATTTTAAGCGCAAAGACGATAAGGTCTATTTATCAATTTAACAACGATTAACAAATGTAATAAACCTGAAACAGAGACATTTAACTTACCTGATAGTTGGTTTCATCGAATTCGTTTAACCTTCCCAAATACAGAGTCGATTCATCTTCAAATATTATATCTTGATTCTCCTTTGTACTCGTTTCGTAAAGTTTTTCACAATCAACATATACTATTACACTATCTTCATTAACACGTAGTACTATGTCTTTCCAACTATTTTCAACAACGTTGTTCAAAGCTTTCCCTTTGTTTTCGTGGTTAATGCCTTGAAGGTAGATTTTGATCTTGTCTATTCCTATTATATCGTAACATAGAGAAAAATTCGAAGCTTGATTTGTGACTATTGAGAATACGCAACACGTCATACAGCTTTCCAAATCTATGCTTACAATTGCTTGTATATTAAAAGGTACTGTAAGTTTTCTTAACGGTGGTTTGAATTCCTTTAATTGTATCGCTATATTATCTTCTGCTTTTATCTGTATAGCATCAAAATTGTCTGTTCCATTTACTATGTCGAATACGTCTATTGCATTCGGAATACTTCGAAATTTCTTTAATATATTGTATTCATCTGAAACAAATATAATGACATGTTCATCTCTGAAATAGGCGCGACATTTCCCACTCTACGTACACTTAGTTATGAATTTAAATTTTAACTGATTACTTCAAGAGTTTTAAACTGATTTTCCTATGGAATCTGGATTTTTTTGGTTTTAAAGCCAATGTAGAGCCCTGGGAGCTATCACTTACCACCTATTGAATTAACGGTTCCACTTAGTAGGCCGAAGACGCCCATATACCTGAAAACAAAAGAAAGATTACGTATTGGTGACTATGTACTTTAGTTAATGTTAGTTTTAATTTGATAGACATAGAGATTGAACCGAAATGGAATTACGGCCGAGAATTCGGTTCAACTATAAAACGTCGAATTGAATTTAGTTCCATTGGCTAAAACAGTAGTAATCATTGTTATTATTTTACAAAAAAATTGTTCAAACATTGTAAGTTATTATTACCACAACACTAAGCTTTTGCCAACTGAAGAATGTGTTGTTCTATAGAAATGACAATTGTTACGGATTTTTAAACAACATAAGACCTGGAAGTACATGTGGGTACTAAAACGCGTGTATTAATAAAAACATGTCGACGAGCTTATATAATGTATTCGTTACTAAATAACGATAAACTATAGAATTTTAGTAATTATATTTTATACTAAAAACTTATTTAATATTAATGTCGTATTGGATAGGTAAAATGTAAAGGTACAGACACCGAATTTCGGTTTAATCAAACGTGAACCGAATCTCGACCCGTAACTGCTATTATTGTTATAATATAATTATTTCTATTCTCGTAGGAATTGATAGATAAAGATATTATTACGCCACTAATCAAATATAAAGGAACGTCGGTCGGAAAAAGGATTGCTTTTTCAAAGGAAACTATGTGCCATAGTTCGCTTGTATTTTGCTTCATTCGTGAGTGATTGTAACAAAGAAATGTCTTTAGATCGTGCCTTTTTTATGATAGAATAGGTCAGGCAATGGCAAAAGGCACATGAACAAAATGCGCTGTCTACTTATTTTGACTTTGGATATTCGGAAATCCACAAGTCGAAACCGAAACGTGATTAAACTCCACGACTTTTTCACCTGTGTATGGTAATTCGCGACTCCTATTAACTATTACACCAATTTAATATCCAAATTTCCAGACGAAGTCCAATATGTTTCGAGAGTACTATAAATTGATTAGAAAAATTTTGGACCCGGTGGGGATCGAACCTACGGCCCGATGATTGTTAGAACAAAATGAGGGCCCATGATAATCGACGACTCTGACAACTAACCGGTACGCGTTATTTTCAATAAATATATTTACTCAACTTAAATTGTAATATGATTACTTGCTAGTTGAAAATTAGCATGTAATGCGGCGTTACCAAGACTTGAGTAACGCATAAATTTTGTAAGTAAATTTCCATTCCCAGCACGGAAGAAAGTTTCAAGAGACGTCACACGTTCGTTTAACGCTATCAAAGGTAAAATTAATATGCACAATTACGATGATATTATAGTCACACATACTTTTGGGGCCAGTAAACGAGCGATAAAGTGTCTTTTTTAAAATTGACAGTATGGGGCGTACCGATGTTGTAAGAAAAAGAGGAAAATGTTTTTTTTAATACGATTATGTCGAACTAGCTGTGTCAGCGACTTCGTCCACGTAGAATAGTTACATTTGGCATTTTTATTTGCAAACCTCCTTTTCATCTTTATAAATCTTAGGTATAATTCTTTCGTACATATTTTTTGGGTATCTTGAACCGTTTTCGTAGCGTGTCCAATGGAAACCCTCTAAGCCAAATAATTTTGCCCGTTTTTCACATATCCCGCTGTTTCTTTTTTTTCTATTAGCCGCAGCGTGATGTTTTATAGCCTATAGTCTTTCTCGATAAATACTCCAACCTTCATCTTCATCTTTAAATATTAGTATAGATACATTTGAATTTTATTTTATTATGCAGCCGCAGCAGCAGACACAGGGCCACGGCTGCTACTTCTAAAATGTCAGTTCAAAGCTAATAATAATATTACAAACTCTCGTTTTTAACCGTTTAAACTGATTTATTACATCGTGCTTAGAAAATTTAATGTAAGCCACTAAAATACGCCTCCTTCATGGCCACTTTAATATACAGCCCTGTAAATGAGACCCGCGTTGATTTAACTTATATGAAATCGCTTTGGAGACATATCAAATTAGATATACGTATGAATTTCGACGAAGACATGTTGGAGAAATCAGCTCGTTAACTTGATTAACATTTATAATTACTGGGGTTAGCTTAGCTTTAAATACGATAGCGTAGAATTTAACTGTCCGTAGTTTACGCGAGTAGTACATATTTAAAACATTTGAACGGTTTAAAATGGAAAATATGTTATTTATTTAACTACTGTTCCGACGTTTTGAACGCTTCCCAGTAACTAACTAACATAGTTCGTGTTTTAAACCGTTAAAAGTGTTTTAAATATTAAGTGTATGTTGTTACAACTAAGAATAAATCAATCAATTTATAATAGTTAGAATTTAACATAGGTTTTTATTACAGAGAAAGCAAGCCACCCCATCAAGTGTTGGGCTCCTTGGTGAAATAGGCCACCATAAACACAACAAAACAGGGTGCATTGTCGACCTATTTCGGCTTTAGATATTCGTTTTCCAATGGTTTGTGATCCAGACGGAATTGGATTACTAAATACTTTATACGCAAAATAATATAAGTTATTTGGTTTTAGCAGCCGAGGTCACGGGCGACCTGCTGATTAGCATCATTACCACGGCTGCTGTTGCAAAAAACGTCGAGCCATAGTGAAATAAGTTGATAACTGGTATCTTCTTCGTTTTAAACCGTTATAATTGTTTCTTTAGCTTTTACGTGTACTCGTTAGTAACGCAATGTATAATTAGTAAACAAATGCAGTGAATGCAGAAAAAAGCAATTTATATAATGAAATAAAAAAAACATTAAGATTCATATAACAAAAGAACCTTTCTGCACTCGTAGTATTGACTTCGCTACTTGAACTGTATTCAAGAAAACTAGAATGCTAAGACATTTATTGTTATTCGTATTTCCTTACTTATCAGCGGCCTTTACCATTGTGAATATACTTGGAACCGCGGCTTTGCCTATATAAATACTGACTGGAGTTTTGTGTTTTAATTTAAATATTATAAACGTAGGACATTATGTTGAATGTACGAATATCCCTCGACTGTCTGTCCTTCTCTATCATAAGAACCTTGGAATATAAATAAATAAACATGCACATTAAATATTTGTACTACCGATCCCCCCTATAGGCAAAGCAGCGAAAATGTATATTATCTGAAATATTTCGCGTTTAGAACCGTTAAAATTTTAACATGAAATACGGTCGTAATTCAATTTGAGCTACGGATCCCACCAATTATCAAAGCGGCGTAAATTTATATTATCTGAAATATTTCGCGTTTAGAATCGTTAAAATTTTAACGTGAAATACGGAGGTAATTCAATTTGAGCTACGGATCCCACCAAATATGAAAGCAGCGAAAATTTATATTATCTGAAATATTTCGCGTTTAGAACCGTTAAAATTTTAACGTGAAATACGGTGGTAATTCAATTTGAGCTACGGGTCCCACCAATTATCAAAGCAGCGAAAATGTATATTATCTGAAATATTTCGCGTTTAAAACTGTCAAAATTTATTTATTTAATGCGTACCACTCACATAAACTACAGCAAATACCTAATTGTAATTTCTAAACTGCCTTAACGCGATTGTTATCTATCACATTACTTTTCAATAACATTTTTTAAATGTACAGACAGACTCTGCCGCCTTATTATATACACATTATTATAATAGCGGACTTCTTGAATAACGTAATCATGCAAAGTGCAGGTAAACTGTAGCTCGGGAAATAATTAGTTCTTATTTATAAAACAAGAGGAAAACTAAATGAAATATTAAAGAAAAAAACAATTTCCTTGAAGTGGTTTATTTTTATAGATTTTAATCTTTACTAACAAAATATCATGTCACGTGGGGATTTAAACCCAAGACTTTGCACAAAGCTTACAAACGTTGAATTCTCTTAGTCATATAGTTTCATAATTTTTCGTGCACGTTTATGCATATAACCTATAAGTATAATATGTACTCAGTTTTTTTTTAATATACAGGAGGACAGACTAGGAGTGGGTTTATTTGATGGGAGGTAAAATACTCCATCCATATAACATCGAAACAGGATGTGTTGTTACTTTGGCTTTGATATTCGGAAATCCACAGACTAAAACCAAAATGAAAGTAAATTTCACGGCATTTTTATCTGAGGACGGTGGTTCAACCGCACGGAATATCGATATTCCTATCTCCCATGTAATATCGAGATTAACAAACGAACTCCAAGGTGCCGCAGAAGAATTATTATAAATTCTAAAATTAGAAACATTTAGAATTGGGAATCGAACCCACGACCTTTATTAGTCATACATTAAATACTGTCTATAGTTTACGCGAGTAGTACATATTGAAATAAAACACTTTATCGCGTTTTAAACCGTTAAAGTGTTTTATTTAAATAGTCATACACTGATACACGGCTTGGGCTAAGTTTTGGAGTATAAACCCACCACCCTGCTGTGCGGATTGGTGGACTTTAAAGACCACTGACACTAAATCACTGGCGACAACCACTCGCAGAACCTTCTTCCAAACTCCTCTTAAACTAGATAATTCTTAGAGAAAAGTGTCAAATACAGAAGTAACATTTTGCGCAACCATATCGGACATGGGACTTCATAGTTTGCAGTTTAAACACATACCACTACGCCAACGGGACAGTGTCCAATTAAAATGGCATAATAGTTGTGTGTGCTATTTCTACCGTTGTTTATGAGGTTGCATTCTGGTTTGTTGTGTATCGGTTAGTGTAATGTTGAGAATGAATTATTTATATATCTACTAATAAACTCGTTCGATTTCAACATATATAATATGACTAGCTGTGTCAGCGACTTCGTCCGCGAGACTAGTTATTTTGGACATCCAAATGCGTTGTGTGCCATAACAACAAGAAATATTATAATTGAAAACTTTAATATTTTTCACATGTTAGCGTATTAAATTCGATTTCAGATTGAAAAAATATATATATCCCGAAAATAACAGCATACCGATAAAAGAGAGTACATCTTGAGTAAGTTCTCCAAATACCAACAATGACGAGACAG